GGGCTCCCGCAGCCCCGGCCCGGCCTCTCCGGACACTTTGCAGAGTTACCGCAGGGAGAGAGCTCTGCCAGGCGCGGGCAGGAGCTGCGGGAAACGACGTCCTTCCAACAAGTAAATCATCCCCGGGGGAAGAGGAGGGACCAGAGCTACGCCGGGACAGCCCATAAAGCGCGAGCTGGGATCCTGGAGAAGCTGCCGCTCACCCAAATAGTGGGACTTCTAGAGATGCGGTGCTTGTAAAGCAGAAGGTGAGACTCGCATGAGGGATGGGGGAAGACAGCAGAGAGAAACTGAACTTATTTAAATGCAGAGCCCCAAACCCATGCAGTCTCACCTGAGCAGGCCTCTGGGGCTGAGGAGGCTGCTCCTGCCCTCCAAGAGCTACCCTGGGCTCTAAGCAGTATCCACACTTGCATATCTACCTTGGCACACAGGACCTCCAGGAGGATGAGGGGGCAGGAACAAGGCAGAAGGAAGTGCTGGCTTTCTAGGACACAGCCACCCACAGGCTCCTCCAGACACCTTCTCAACAGCAAGGCCATGGCCAGGGGAAACCTGACATTTCATCCTCCTCCCATCATTCACAGCACAGGCTTTTCAGAGTCTATGCTGTGATGGAGAGGCAGGAGGTAGGACATAAAAGGAGGGGGAAGGTCTGGGGGTTTGCATACAGTTGTGCTCCTGCACCTCATTGCAGTTGTCTGTGACAAGGCAGGACTCAACTGAGCAGCACTGTGAAGTTCAGATTTGCTACTGCACATCAACCAAGTGATACTGGAGCTGCTGCACAGCAGCCCTGATGGAACAGGACAACAGCCTCCCTGCAGCTGCCCAAGCTCACCCATGGCCACAATGCCACAACAGCATCATGGCTTTGCAAGAAGTCACAAGAGAAGGTGAGTGTTCAAGCTTCAACATCTTTATTAAAGCAGACAGCAGGTAATCCAGAACCCCACAAGAGAAACTGAGTGTTCAAACTTCAAAAACACTTTATTCAAGCAAACAGCAGGTAAATCCAGAAACAGTTTAGCACCCCACAGCAGTCAGATGCCAGCAGTGAGCAAGGCATCCCAACATCCCAGTAGTCACAGCTGTGCTGCCTAGCCAGGAGACAAGCTTTGTCTTTTGTCTCTCTCTGCTGGCTATAAAGCACAAGATTAAGTTTGCAATCAAGATGCATGCAAACACCACAGTGAGGACTCCCAGACAGCAGCTCTTAGATGCCATCCAGAAAAACGTCACTAGAAACTAGAATGTCAGAGAAAACATTAACACAGACACGGCCGTAGGAAGTTAGAGAGTTAAGAGAAGTTAAGGAAGAACAACAAGTTGCACAAGCCTGGGCATCAGGTTTCTAGAGACCGATGAAAATCCAGCCCTCCAAGCTGGTGAGCACTGAGCTCAGTAACTAGGCTGGGGGCCAGTCCCTGCCCTTTCCTTGTAGAGCTCCAGCTGAACATGTTCCTTCCCTCAAGGACTACTGCTGGGCCTCAGGTCACTCACTCAGGTTAGGTTTACATGCCAGATTGAACTGCAGAGTTTAGGTTAAAACTAAGCTGTGGGTTAGATTTAAATGCCAAATCAAACTGCAAAGAACAACCAACAGCCCCTGGGAACAGGCAGTGCAGTTTAGCAGATGTGTTAGCAGGTGTCACACATCAGCAGTGCTCAGCTTCAGGTCACATAGCAGAGTGGCACCATTAGAGAGCTGACACTGATTTTCCTCCCTCCATTCAACACCCAAGGGGGCAAGACTGGAATTTCCAGCCAGAACTGGAGAGTGAGCAGCCCATGCCCACACACCAGCACCCTCCCAGTGCCACAGCAGGCCAGCCTCTCTAAGTGCTACATGTACCCATCCAGAGCAGTGACCAGAGCCCTCCAGACAGCTATGAGCCCCAAGCCCTGCATTCACCTTTAATTCCTCAGGTCTTTGTAACTAATTTGAAGGAAATTTACAACACCACAGAGCACACAGTCTAACTTGACTAGTTTCCACTAAACACTCAAGCACCACTCTTGTGACTGAAGGCAGGAAGCCAATTCAAGACAGCACAGCTATTTGAAACGGTTCAGCCTATGGAGGAGGAAGTGTCTAAGGATGTACATAACAGACTGAAGATTGTATCTGCATCACCACAGGAGAGTGAAAAAATAGGACTGCAGGAAATTAATCCATGTTAGATACTAACCATCAAGCTTCGCAGATGACATTGCGTGATAAGCATAGAACAATTATGGGAAACACTGTCCCCGATAATTAAGTACACCCATAGTGCAACATATGGAGGTCACTGCCTCCGATATAACACTGTGGTAGGCAAAAACTACCTTGTTCTTTACACATTATGGGAGACACTGCCCCCGATAATGTCAGTTAGGTTTCATGATACATAAGGTACTGGAAGTTTGCAGGAAGCTGCCTTTTGAAAATCGTGCCAATGCCTAATCTGACGTACAGGGAGTTTCTGTGTGTTGCCACAGGTGGAACTAGGGCTACACAGCAAGGCCCTCTGCTGGGACTAGGGCTAGGAAGGAAGCTGTGCTCCCTGTGAGAGCACATGGCATCCAGAAAGGGGAGCAGGGAGAAGTCTGAAGCCCACAGAGGGGCACAGACCCTGCAAGGAAGACAAATTTCTGGTATTGGAATTTCGACCCAGATTATCAGCATTTCAAGGATTACTTTGGAGCGCAACCTGGATACTCACTGCCAGGTTTGCACCTTCAAGTTTCTTCCAGAGGGGTGTTTTCGCCACAGAAAGCTTAATTGCTAGTTTTCCAAAACTTTTTGAGGGTCTTGTTTTGATTATTTTAAATGCAAAGTTCCAGTATCATGTTTGATTGTAATAGCAGATGCTGCTTTATTCAAAAACGACAGTATAACTGTCATAATTATGGAAGGCACTGCTTCCGATAATTATCTTCTATAAAAAAACCACACCATTTATAGTGAACACTGTCACTGATAAATAAATAAAGAAATAAATATCTCAGTGCCAAACAAGAGCCAGCCTGCAAAATGACATCAGTCAAACAGAGTTTGGCCAGCAAGGGACTCGATTTCACACAAGGCCCCTGAAGCAGCAAGGTCTGAAGTGCCAGTCTAAAGACATTTCTGCTGCAGGACTTGCTGAGGTGCCAGCCAAGGATATCAAGGGGACATTGAAAAATCTTTGGGTCATTTTCCCTGGGTATTGATACCTGCCTTGGCAGAAGCAAGCCTGCAAGATGTCACTGGGACCTTGCTGTTGAGTAAAGGCAGGCAGGCACTTCAGAGCTTGCTGATAATCCAGCACTTGCGGGCAATTACTACTACATTGTTTAATTTTTGAACTGCAGCTCCCTGCTAGAGAAGGGACCCTTGTTAACAAATGTTCAGAGGAATCCATTCCCTGTTTTGTCACTAGGTTTAGGTGGCCAACAATTACAAGCCTGAATAGATGAGGTACCTCCCCACTCAAGGTACCAGTTCAGGAAACACCTGAGTTCTTAGTTTTTAAGTACACTGGAGCAGCTGTACATGACCAGTTTGGACTGAGGTTAGGTGGGAGCCTGGTGAGAGACTTCATGGTAATCTTACTACTGCTTTAAAACTGCCTCCTGTGAATTTGTCAAGGTGAGATTTAAATTTTATGCTCAACTTTGGTCAAAAATGTTTTGCTGCCAGAACATGGCATTACTCCAGGAAAGTAATGCCATGTTAGGGAGTGGGTTTCACTTAGGTTTCAGGGGGTTTGGTTAGGTTTTACGATATATAAGGTACTGGAAATCTGCAAGAAGCTGCCATTTAAAAATCATGCCAATGCCTAATCTGAGGTACAGGGAGTTTGTGTGTGTGTTGCTATAGGTGGAACTAGATCTACACAGCAAGGCCCTCTGCTGGGACAAGGGCCAGGAAGGAAGCTGTGCTCCCTGTGAGAGCACACAGCTCTCCTGTACCTTAGACGGGTAATCCAGGTGTTTGCTGTGTCTAGATTTCGTTGTCTGTATTCCAGATATCGCCCACCAAAGCATTGGCAGCCCCTTTAATGGTCCAGGTCGCCAGGGCCATCTGCTCTTTCAGCTCATTCACATCCACGCTGGTCTTGTTGGCTGCCAGCTGCTCCAGGTTCTCCAGCAGACTCTTCAGGGTGTGGCTGCCTCTGCCGAAGAAGATGTGGCGGAAGGGAGCATCTTTTGGCGAGAGGTATGGAGAGAGGAAGTCGTATTCCACCTGAGTAGAGGTGCAAATAGAGGGTTATACTCTCACCTCCCAAGCTTTTCTTTCCTGATCTGCTCATCTCTGATCCCCACTCAGCCCTTTCCCACAGCAGCTCTGCAAGGGCCAGACCCTCTCTTGTGAGCAAGCCATCACGTTGCCACTAAGCAAGTGGAAGAGACACCAGTCTGCACAGTGTCCATGGCCCCTTAGGGAAAGGCCCATCCCAGCCAGCACTCTCTTCCTTTGTAAAGGAAGAAAAAGCACTTGAAGATACCCACCTTCATCATCCTGTCATTCAGGGCTCTGCGGACAATCCTGTTTTCCCTGTCACTGTTTTCGATGTCTCTTCTCAGTGCATCTGCAGCTCGCTGGAAGTCTCCACGAGCAAAATACAGCCAGTTCAAGGTCAGCCCCAGTTCCTGCAAGGGAGGAGCTGTTAGCAAACCTGATTTTCTTCTTTTGCTGCTCTCTTACCAAAAGAAAGTGTTGGGTGTTTTTTTTTTTTTGGCAGTTTAGCCAAGTAGCAGAACAAGTTCCTGGCAGGCTCTTCTGGGTCACTCCCTACCCACAGTTTCTTGTAGATTTTTCAGCAAAGGTGCAAATGAGACTGAAAGCTGCACTATGCTGTGAATGATAACCAGAGAAGAAACTGTTCACATCCATTTCCTCAAGAGCTCAGGACATCGAGATCAGCTAAATCTGTCTGCCACAGCTACTCTGCCTGCACAGCTCTATAAGGAACATCTATTCTGGCCACACTTCACTACCCTTTTATGTCTACAGGGGAAGGTGTCCATCCTGCTGTATCCACTGGCACAGGGCCTTATTAGCACATGCGCCCCATAATCATCAGGGATTTGGTGAACTCAGAGTCCTTCTCACCTTCACATCGTCTTTGAAGTGCCAAAGCTTCTCCTGGAATGACAGCAATTCGTCACTGTATCTATCCAAGTCCAGGAAGAGCTCATGGTCATGGGTCATCCTGAGAGCTATTTGTCCAGCAACTTCTGCAGCAGTACGCATGAGAGGATACAAGTTGACAGCCCTCCTTTTCAGGTTAGCCAAAGTGTCCTCAGTAGTGCCCAAAAAGGCATACTGGTCACCTTCCTGCAAGAAAGAAGGTATTGAAGTTAGCCAAGAATGCTTTTCCAGTTAGACTTTTTTCATCCCCCACCAAAGGCTGCTTGTTACCTTCCCCCCTATCCCATCTCCCTGTGCTGCTAAGGAGCAAAGGCTCAAGTGGCAAAACTCCAAAGCACTGGGAAGGGCATGGAGTTCTTGTATCTCATCCCTGACAGCTTCCAGTGACCAGCAGGATGTTCTTCTCAGTACTTGCTCAGGGCAATGATGTCACTTCCACAATGCCCTCTGCGTGCTGACCAGCAGGCTGTAGAACAGTTTTTCACTGATGCAGCAACGGATTGACATCTTTCTATTGCTTTTAGCTTCAGATTCATTGACTTCTGAACCTCCAGAAAAGCAAGTGACTCCTCTCCCCAAAAACCTGCAAGTATTCAATACTTTGGAACAGAGGCTGTAAGGCCAGCCTTGTCCCAGGAGCAGTCTTGACAGCAAGTACTGCCACAGCCACCAGGTCCAGAGGCTGCACCTGCTCCCTCTGAGAGGCTCTTGCAAGGACATTGAGCATGGACAGCACCTTTTGCCCTGCCACCAACTTTTGCTCTAAGATATCCTTACAGCACTCTGCATGGAATGAGCACACCAGGCAAGCACACATTACTTACATTGTAGAAACCAAAGGAAACCACTGGGATTCCTGAGTAGGCCAGAAAAGGGAACGCTGCATTATCCAGATCAAGGGGAACGCTGCAGAAAATAAGCACTGAGCAGTTACAAACTGGTTTGGGCACCCCAGGAGAAAAGCTACAAGCTCTACAATTGAAGCACTGAGACAACAGAACTCTAGACAAGACTGAAGGAGTCCCAACCAAATCCACGGTCCTACTTGTCCATTCCCTGCCACTGGACTTGGTACAAGGCTGTTCCTTCCTGCAGGAAGGTGGCTAGGCTGCCTCAGTTAGTGCTGTACTGTTAACACTTGCCTAACCCCATGTCAGAAGGTAGAGCCCGCCCACACAACAGTATGGCACTCCAGCAGAATCCATACTGTTTGCTCCTTTATGGAGATCTGCTTTCTCCAGATGAAAGAGAAGAATGATAGTACTTACACTTTCTTTATCCAGTCACTGTCAAATCTGCTATCAAGGAAACGTGCCTCGTTTGCAGGGTCCTTTACCTGCACAGAGATGAGAATCACTGCACTTGTTCTGACATCTGCTTGGACTTCTAGCTCCATCCTGGAGCTTACACTGATGTGTAGATGCCAGAGTAAGGTCAGGGGAGCACACCTTTCTCCACACTGGCACATCTGCCACTGAACTGGGGCATTTGCTGATTTTAGATTCTGCATGTGTCAAGTGCAATTCCCAGAGCCCAGTTGATTTCAGACAGGGCCCCTTCAGAATCACAGGTTTTTCTCCCAAATGGGTCTTTCTCCTGTCAGATGGGCAAAGTGACCCAGCACAGCTCTGTCTGCTTTCAGTTCCCCCTTAAAACCACAGTCACCTTGATCAGATCAATGTCCTTTAACTCACCCTCTTCATAGTTGTCTCCAGCAAAGAGTACAGCAATGGGCTAGCAGAAATCTTGATGTCTGAGGAGCCTGCAAAAAATGAAAGGGTATTTGACATATTGCCACAATTAACCACTACTGCTAGAGCTGCCCACCCCTGATCTGCAGCTACAGTTGCCAAAGGACCTTCAACAGACACAGGACAGTCTACTGGGATTTAGCAGAGTTGACTCCTCATGGCTTAGGCTGTACCAGCCTCCCAGCTTCAATGACAGCAGGAGAATAAATGGAGTTATGCCAGTCTTCCGCCAAACACCCACCAGCCACCTCCTGGCACAGCCCCCATTCCTAGAGGTTAAGGGATGTCTGTTCAAGCTATTCTAGTCTCACCCAATTTTAAGAAGTACTTGAAATAGTAGCAGGTTACCCAGGACTGCAGTATCCAAGTTGATATAAGTGAAGGCTTTGGCATGCAGCGTGGTAGAGTACCCCTAGAACAAAACAAGTATTTTAATAATGAGAAGTAGCAGTCCAACACCAGAATGTTTAATCCACAGAACAACTGCACAGCCATCCTGCAGAACTCTATTAAACAACCAGTACCTCCAGCCACTCGGTAGCACCCACGGCTCCGTACTCTCCCGCACTCCAGCTAGCAAAGATAATGCTGCGCCGCGGCTTGTAGTCCTCTGTAAAGAGAGAGAGACTCAGAGGTCTGCCCTTTCCCCATGGAGATGCAGATTAGCACTGCAGGCCTGGGATGATGAATTGCCTGCTCCTCAGACAGCGCTGCTGCAGAGAAATGTGCCCGTCGCACAGACACTGCACCCTGCCCCCACATGCTGCAGGACTGCGCAGGAGAACAATGCTGTCTGCATTTCCACTCTGTTTTGTTTAGCTGCCTGAGCCCAAAATTAACCCTGGAGACAAGTGTGCTCACACTAACTGCCACCATGCAGTCCCCACTGTTACCAGCTGGTTAGACACTTCAGAGTTTTCCCACTTTGGGCCTGGCTGTCCAAGAGACAGCTCAAATTTAAGGCTTGCATCCTGTGTTATCCAAAGACACACTGGTAATTGAGATATGCCAGATACAGGCAGGCAGTCCCTTGGAAGTGAATGCTCATTGCAGACAAGTTGTATTGGACAAGAAACAGCTCATCAGGAAGCTTTGTCAGATTCCCTACACCTTCTAAAGGACTGCCTGCATCACCACCCACCCTCGTGCTTTTGTTCACAAATATTTACCAATTTTCACCATGTCTGAGATCACACGGGCAAGTTCCAACAAGATGGCAGTGCCAACTCCAGCCTTGGCTGCTCCTGGCCCCCAGGAGTCTCTCTGCGCTCCGAGCACAACGTACCGGTCTGTAAAGGAGACAAGATCAAGACCTGAGCTGCAGGCTTCAGACTGCAAGTACCATTTATGAGAAGAGCAGCTTTCAGCTTCTGTATTAGGAAAAGAGTCTGCAGTCTGATCCCTGAATCTGGCACACAGAGTGCTCTCATTAGCCTTTCCCCAGCAGCATGGTTCAGATTTTTCCCTGATGCTCAGGGGAAGGCCTTGGTTCTGCTGACAAAGAACTGTCATCTGTCTGGGAGCAGCTGTCCTATTCCAATGGCCACACAAGGGTTCCTCTCAAGACTGAGCCACAATGCAGCTGCTGTTACCTGGTTCTTCAAATCCCTTGATAACACCAAAGATGTTCAGAATCTTCCTATCCACCATGACGTTGTTCACAGTCAGTTTCACTGTCATCTTGCTGCTGCTGCTCACTGTCACCTTACATCCCATGATGTCAACTCTCCACTCCTCAAGGCATTTCTCTCCATCCATTTTTCTGAGAAAAAGAGAAGATCCTTTGAACTCATTATCCAGCTCT